GAGAGAGAGAGAGAGAGAGAGAGAGAGAGAGAGAGAGAGAGAGAGAATGGAAGAAAGAATGTGGAAAGTCCAGCCAGTCATGAACAGATATATGTAGCTGAGCCCAAGACACCAAGTCTTTCTGCCCTCCCCACCTTTTTCCAGTACTGGGGTTGAACTCAGGACCTTGTACTTGGGAGGGAGGTTCAGTGCCACTGAGCTAAATCCCCAGCCCTTAGGACACCAAGTCTTATAATGAGAGATGAGTCTGGAAAGGCATAGAATAAAAGTCTTTTCCTAGCTCTGAATTTTAGTAAAATACAATAGTTGATGCTATTTATATAGCATTGTAGCTTGACATATATATCTTATATGATCTTCATGGCAGTCATTTACACATAGAAAACAGAATATTTTTCTGCTATGGCGGATCGAACTCAGGACCTTGCAGTTTCGAGGCAGGCAAGGCACCACCGAGCTAAATCCCCAGCCCAGAAAACAGAATGTTTTAAGAGACTTGTCTGAGATCACACATCAAACATGCAACCTAGTTGGGGTTTGGAATCCAAATCTACCAAAACTCATCACCCACTATATACTGTTTCCCAATCCAGAGCCAAGATACAGGGCAAAATTAGCAAGCAATTTGCACTCAGACTATAGCATTCCTATTTTTGTGGCATGATTTACAGACCTGTACTGTAGCACTTTTCACGGTGTCAACCTTGAAATAGAAAGTTTCATTGTTCTCTGCATTCAGCTTCCTAATGGAATGAGTCAGCGCCTCCTGCAGCTCCAGGTTGTCCACAGGTATGGGGCGGGGGCAGCCAGCGCAAAGCTTGGAAGATGGCGCTACAAAATCCACCCCTGAAAGAATCAGACTTGAGGTCAGCATGTTCACTGAAGAAGCTGCCTCGCCTAACACAGGGTCACCCAAGCCCAGTACCCGGCCAGGGAAGGTTGTGTGACCTTCACTTCCTGTCTCTCTTCTCTGCCCTCCATAGAGCTCAGTGGGTTTAGGGAAACAGTCACCCAAGAGGTATTAGTGACCCAGTCAGTATGCTGCACTTTTCCTGAGTTTTTGCCCCTTTGATGGAAACTGTAAAAAGCAATGCTTAATTGAAAAGCGTGACTCTAATGGAAAATGCTCCTATCTTGTGGCTCTGGTGAGCAGGCAGGGTCAGTAACACTTCTCACCATGCAACGTACACAGCTTTGTTCCAAGTGTGAGAAAAGCCAATTCTTTTTAAAACAAATGCTAATTTGATCATAAACTCATGCTATTTCCCTTGTCCTTCATTATAATGTGGAGGAAAAAATAAGTAACTAGGAGGATCTTTTTCTAAGTGGTTAAAAATAAGATAGTTTTCCCAAATTTACAGCACCAGATTTAAGAGCAGCTTGTACATAAGCGAGAGCTGCTGGCCCTTTCCCGAAGGCCATCTTTGCCCACAGGACTCTTGCTTCCCTTTCTGCCACTGAGTTCCCTTTGGCCACTTGCGGAGTAGTCACGGCTGGGCAGGGAAGGGTTCAGAGCTCTCAGAAGACCCATGGGTTACATAGTGTGTGATCTCATAGGAACAAAAGCACAATTCCCCCTACAGATCCAGCCATCCAGACACTGTTTCCCTGCTGGGGTGCCAACGTGTGTCATCTCTCACCTTGGTAAACTTCACAGTTTTGTGAGAAGGAATCGATTCTTCCCTTATGATCCACATACACATTATCTACACATTCACCAGTGTCCTGGTTTTCAAAAAGCATAAGTTAAAAACAGTTTTGAGAATCTTTAAACAGCTAGTTGCACTAAAAAGATAGGAGCCAAATGTAGTGACGCTTGCCTGTGATCCCAGAACTCAGGAAGCTGAGGCAGGACGATGGTGGGTTCAAGCCTAGCCTGGGCTACATAGTGAGACCCTATTTCACACCAAAAACTTTACAAAGTGAAAGGTGTCTACTTTCTAAATCCTGCCATAGGGGGGAAAAATGAAATAAAACAGTCTAACTGGAAAAGAGAAAATAAGCAAAAGGTAGTAGAATCAGTAACAAAAGCAAATAAATGCACATGCACAGGGAAAACATGAAATAATGACTATTGACAGACTAGGGAAAAATTAAGTGACTGCTGAACAATTTGAAAGGAGAATATGGGTGCATCCAGTCACCTCTAAATGAAACTATTTTTAAGTCAGAAATACCATAATAAAAACTGAAAAGAGGCTTCCTGTTTTGGGGCCTTTGGGAGCAGAAATGGCTAGGACTCTGGCTCTCGGGACCAGAGATCCAGGACTCCTCCTTAGGGAGCCGGGGAAAGACTGAGCCATCTCAGACTTCCAGTCTCTGAAGAGAAATTCTGCTTTCCTTCTCCAGGAATTGAGGCCGTGAGGCTATTGCCATTGTGCTGAGGTTCCTGATTGCTGTTACTTGTACTTTAATATTTTTTTCTTTGCTGTGAAAACCTGAAGAAAGATGGACCAGTATGATAAGTCCAGTATTTTGAGGGACAAGGAGTGCATTTATGATGAGCTGCCGCCCAGTGTCAAAAAGGCTTCAACCCCATTAGTAAAAGTATCTACCCAGACCAGAGGCAGTGACCTTTGAGGATGTGGCTGTGAACTTCACCAGGGAGGAGTGGGCTTTGCTAGATCCATCTCAAAAGAAGCTCTACAGAGATGTAATGTGGGAAAACTTTAGGAATGTGGCTGCTATAGGAAGAAACTGGGATGACCAGAAAATTGAAGATGAATACAAAAATTGCAGGAGAAATGAAGTAGAGAAATGCTGTCAATATAAATTATGTCAACAACACGGAGAAACGTTTTTTCTGGACTCCAGATACTAATGTGCACATGAAAGTGGTTGGTACCAAGCCAAGTGAAAACTTTGCTTATAGAAAGCCCCTGAGTAATCATTCATTGTCTAATGTGCCTATCATGGCCAACACTGGACTTGAATCCTATGAGTATCAGGGATTTGAAGAGAAGCTATCTAACAAACATGGGAAAACCTCCACTGCCTTCCAGTCCTTTCAGAAGCATTCCAATCCTTTCAAAAACAAATCCTAGAAATAAACCCTATGAATATAAGCAATGTGGAAAATTCTACTCCACAGGCATTGAAGGAAGTAACACTGAAGAGAACTCCTTTGTATACAAACAAGATATGAAAGCCTTCGGCACAACCAACTTTGTTCAAATCTGTGAAAGAAATCACAGTGAAGTAAATACTTATGTATGTATACAATGTGGAAAAGCTTTTAATTGTCTCTATGACATTCAGATACATGAAAGAGCTCACACTGGAGAAAAACCCTATGTATGTAAGCAGTGTGGGAAAGCTTTCAGCACACAAAGTCATTGTCAAAGACATGAGAGAACTTACACTGGGGAAAAGCCCTATGTGTGTAAGCAGTGTGGGAAAGCTTTCAGAACACACAGTAACTGTCAAATACCTGAAAGAACTCACACTGGGGAGAAACCTTATGTATGTAAACAATGTGGGAAAGGCTTCAGCAGACAAGACAATTGTCAGACACATGAAAGAACTCACACTGGGGAGAGGCCCTGTGTATGTAAGCAGTGTGGGAAAGCTTTCAGAACAT